AGACATAAAAAGTGAGCTAATACTGAAAAACTTTGCCAACATTAATAGAAGAAACTCCTCTAATACCAACAAAATTAAAACAAAGGAAAAAACTTAATTGTATTTTATCCATAATAAATTGACATTTATTTTTTATTATTAACTGTATTTTATCCATAACAAATTTACAAATCTACATTCTTTTTCTTTTTCTTATCAATATAAAAAAAAGTAACTATTCTATACTATACGATTCTTTTTATTATCGGTATCGTGTGGTATAGAACCGATTCTGACGGTATTGACATTAGTATATTAACGTTATCAAACAATACGAGGTTATTCGTCTAGATATCTAGATTATTGAAAAAACCTTTTAATAAACAAAAGCATACTGTAGGATTCTATTTGGGGCGAACAGAGCTATGTATTGAGAACCACTATTAAATCGTCTCAAGGCCTTAAATATTTATAAATTAAACATTTACCAAATATTACTATTCATGTTTAAAATGACACAGGGAATATCTCCACTTACCCAGTGGGCACGGAAGTAAAAAAGGACGTCTTTTAAACGTTTTATACACGTTTTAGACGTTTTCTGAACGTCTTTTGAACGTTTTGGACGTATTTTAAACGTTTAAAAGACGACTTTTTTACTTCCGTGCCCACTGGGTATATTTCAATCTTATTTTAGTAAAATATCTCATAAGTATCAAAAAAGGTTTTCAGAGAATAACTTTATTGTTCCGAGAATTAATTTAAAAATGAGTTCTCACCGAATTCAATATTGAGGACCTTATTTAATGAAAAAATTTTATTAAAAAGTTCGATAAAGAACACTACTCACAAGAAAAATTTAAAACAGTTAGTAAAAGAATCTTTTAAGAAGATTTTAATACAAAAAGACTTTGAATTTTTTTTTTTTTTAGGTAATTTTAAAGTTGAAAAAACGTTTTCATTAGCACTAAATGTATATTGTTAAACATCTATCAAATATACCTTTATGAGTAAACAATTCTTTTTTTATTTATTATTTTTAAATTAATATAAAAGTCATTTTATTATTCGATAAAAATTATGCATTTTTTAACATTTTGTGTATAAACACGGACAATTTAATTTTTATTTTTGTTTATAAACACGGACAACATGTAAATGGGGCTCGGTGATAACACAGTTGTTGAGCGAACAAGAAGAAGACAGTCAATGTCTTCTTCTTGCTCCGGCCAATATTTATAAATGTAATATATCTTTATCGTAAATATATAAAACGGCAAAAAATAATAAAAATAATAATAAATAAATATTGACTTACGCAATACCGATTAGCTTGTGACTAAAAAATAATATTTGTGTATAAAAAACAGCTTTTTCTAACAATAAAAGCACATGTGTTAAATAAAATAGTATCAATAATATTTATATTAATAACTTTCAGGGTGTTGTTACATAGGTGAATTAATTTAATATCAACAAATTAACGAAAAAACTTTTTTTCTCTCCAAAAAAAGAAATTAAGTTGTTAAAAAAAAGATAATGCTCTTAATAAAAAAGTATAAAATTAAGTAAAAAGAACTTATATAACTTTTCTCTTTCTCTTTCTTAAAAAATAATTTATTTATGAAATAAAGTATTTTATATTTATAATACAAAACAGTCGTATTTATTTAGAATAAAATAGCCGGAGTTAACTCGTCAGAAATAGCGCCCGTGTTGATTGTTAAGTGCGCTAAAAGAATAGTATTAGTGATGATACATATTCAATTTTTATCCTTGAGATATTTGATTTTAACTTTTTTTGTCGTCACAAAACGATAAAATTGTTTTAAAACGTTTGCAATTTGTAAAATATCAAATAAAAGTTAAATAATTTTTTTATTAAAATTCAAAAATAGTATCAATTTTTTATAATACGGAACAATCGAAATAACAATAAATAGCTTATTTTTTGTGCATCTTATTTCTACTTTCCCTTTACTTACCCTATTTTAAAAAAACATAGATTTCCCCTTTTTTCTAGGTTCATGTTCCTCTATAATTTCATGCAAAATACCTACGCAAATCTTTAAGAACCTTTATTTTTCGTCTGAAGTAATCTAAATACTTTTTGTGTACTTTTCTTATTTATACTATTTGATATAAAATTTCCAGATAACTTACATAAGTAACCGACTTTTATTTTCTTGTTTTGCTACAAAAAAACATTCGCGACGTTAGAATTTTCTTGTTTTATCTCCACAATTTTGAGTTTTGAGATAAAACGATTTTAAAAAATTAAAACTTTAGTAGATATTATAGTAGATGTTAAGGTATTTAAAATTTTTTTTATAACCTTTGTTTTCTCTGCAACCTATGTTTTATAACCTATTTTTTCTCTGCAATCTTTTAACTAATAATTTTCAATACAGAAGAAAAACATTATTCAGAGGACAAAAGCAAAAAAAAAAAAAACATATCAATTACTAAATTTTTTTCATAAAGTGTAGATAAAACGATATAGTTCTAATGTCGCGAACTTATTTTAACGCGATAACATTCATCTAAGAGTTTCGTATAACTTTAAACAAAGTCTAGATATAAATATTTTCATACGCGGGCTCTTATAAAACTGCATTATATCAGAAGCAGAAAACATGATTTTCTCTCTATCTGCTAAATTTGAACAACTCTGTTGAAGTTAAAATCAAAAATAAGTTTAAATGAAATTTTTCATTTATTTAAAACGTTTGCTTTAATACGAAACATCTTGATCTTTTTAAGGTATCAAAAAGGTTAACAATATGTTAATGTGATTTTTCTGAATAAAATTGAGCTACTTAACCTTTTTAAAAATGCTTTTATATCATCAATGCAATCATCAATGCAATCATATATGATTGGCATAATATCGCCTTTGCGCAGTGTCTTAAAGAGGCTTAAAATTAATTTTTAAAAATTAGTATTTTGGGAAAAGAAAACAATTCTCTCTGGATTTTTATTGGATAGTAAAAAACTTTCTCTGGATTGTGAACGGATAGTAAAAAATAAGCCTAAAAATGAGCTTAAGGAGGTTTTAAAGGATTTTTTTTTCGAATCACAATATGTTAATTATTAACAGCAAATAAAGACAATAAAACGGAAGCTTTGGATGCAATTGATCTTCATTTGTAAGTATTTTAAAGAGTTTAAACATCCCATTACAAATCAGTTCTAAGTTATGCACGGGTTAAACATTGACACAAATTTATTCAAAAAAAAATTGGAAACATAAAGTTTAATAGTTAATATTATTTAATTAAAAAAGAAAAATCTTTGTAAAAAAAAAAACGTTTGAACTTTTTCCGCTTTTAGCTTTTGCATCTGGAAAATAAAGTGTTATTTTTCTTCATCGTTAAATGACATAACCGTTTATTCAAATTTTCAAATATCAACAGATAAAAAAATAACGAGTTTAAATCAATTTATTATAAGTAAACATTTTAACAAGTGAAAGTTAGAATCCAAAGACAAAGAAAAAAATGCTTTTTACTTAATTTTACGTGACGTCATTATTTGACTAATACTATTTATATAAAGCTCCTTTCTATTTATTACAACAAATAATTAAAGGTTTTTCACTAAAAAAAAATTTTTTAATTTTATTTTTTTCAAATAGCAAGTCTTTTTCAAGTCCTTTTCATCTGATTACATGAGTAGTTAGTGGTCAACTTTTTCAAATTGTTCTTAATCCAATTAAAGCATCTCAACATTAAATTTTTTGTAAGTTTACAAAAGCTTTTTAACAGCTATAGTTAAAAGTAAAGATCTTCAATGATTTTTTCTAAAGCTAAACTTGAAGATGCAGAGATGAAAGTGCAGAGGTAACAGTGTATTATAATAAAATACATTGGAAAAAAAAGCAAGCATTAAAAACTATAAATTTTCTATTTTATTTTAAAAAATTACAAGTTCACAGAATAGACTTCTTCACAGTAAGCCAGAATACACGCATGTATATACATCTATTCAATGTATATATAGGTCAAAACATGAGGTTTTTGAAGTCAGTCTATTTCTGACATCAAAATTTAGTTTTGACCACTTTAAGATTTACTTCGTAAAAATTATTTTTATACATGAAAAGTATTTTTTTTTTAGTTTAAAAACCGGAAGAAGAGCTCCAAGTAGAGATTTACCAGCTATTACTTAAGGTAATAGCTGGTAAATCTCTACTTGGAGCTCCTTAATTTTACGAGCTATTAATTAAAGTTTATTTACTTAACGTTTGTTGATTTTATTCTATCGTCTACTGAAACCCAGAAGTGCAAAGTTTTTTTTTTTTGTGCATGAAAAGTTGTAAAAAATGTGTATTAAAAATACAAAAAAGCCTAATTTAAATGTGAAAAAGTTGAAAAGTTGAATCAATCATTAAAACAGATAAGAAATATTTTAAAATTTCGCAAGGATTTCACAATTCTGAAAATCACAGCTGTATTGTCAATATTTTAATTCATGTTTTTTGTCTATATTTTAAAAACTTTAATTTATTTTAAAGGGGATAAAATAATCAAGTGCATTTTAAAATGAACATTTTTTGCCCTATGTTATGCATATTGATTGCAAATGACTAAAACTGTTGAAAAACCTTTTTTGCTTATTGAATATATATATATATATATATATATATATATATATATATATATATATATATATATATATATATATATATATATATATATATATATATATATATATATATATATATATATATATATATATATATATATATATATATATATATATATATATATATATATATATATATATATATATATATATATATATATATATATATATATATATAAAAGGATTCTAGTAATAAGACTTAGAAAACATATTTACGATTTATAAGAAAATAAATAACATGTTTTAAAACTAAAAAAAAAAAAAAATGCAAATATTTATTTCATGTTTATAAAAACACTTTATTTTCATTTTTTGCAAATATTTGAAATGTTTCAAGCTACAACATTTTAGCTGAGTCTTAAAAAGTCAACCAACTTAGACATTTTCTAAAAACTCGCCAGAAGTTCTATTATACATGAAAAGTCTGATTTTATAAACAAACTCCATTTAACAGATGGCGACTAAAGTAGATAAATAATGTAAAAAAATAATAAATGATCTATTTCCACGTTTTGTTTCGTTATTATCACCTTGGTTAGAAATGGCATTTATGTTATGCTATTTGATTTGCTTTAGTAGCATTGTGTATTGTTACAAGTTAAATTTCAATAATGAAGACGTCTCAAAAGTAAGTTTTATATTCTCAAAAGTAAGCTTCACATTTTCAAAAGTAACCTTTACATTTTTAAAAGTAAGCTTCACATGGTCAAAAACAAGTTTTATATTCTCAAAAGTAAGCTTTATATTCATTAACAAAAGTAAAAGTGCTCCTTCTATCAAAGTATTTAGAACTTAGCAACGTAGCACATTTTTTGTTTTAAGATTTGTGTGATGTAATAAATTGTAAAATGGTAACATGAAATATGAACTTATTACATTTAATTGTAAATTTGTTGATACAAATTGTGAAAAATGTCATTCGTTGGCGCAATTTACAGTTTTTTTGTTTTTATGTTGTTGTTTTTTTATAATTTCGAAAATATAGTTTAACATTTTAGTAGCTTGTTAAAATGAAATCACATGTTTATATATTTTTTTAACGATTTTTCAATACGCTTTTTTTAGACGATTGGTTTGATTTGTAGAATAAGTTTACACCTATAAAATTAAGTTCATAAATGACCAAAATATAACAGATTAAACTTGTGAGACTATTTAAAGTAAAATTTAAAATTCGAAGTTTCAAGGTACCCTATCCATGTGGGTAGGGTACCTTGATACACACTATGAGCATCATTATAGAAGTAAATAAAAAGTATAAAACGTAGAGAAGAGATTTTTACTTGAAAGGTATACAAATTAATAATTATAACTCAAATAATGCATCCAATGGTCCAAATCACATTTGGAAGACCAGATAATATATCGTTTTAAATGTCATTCTTTAGCGTCAATAATTATAGGCTTTGTATCGAAATTGGATCTCCTTGTATTATGTTTACATTAATCTTTTAAAAATTGACTGTAAATATTAAAAGAAATAATTTTTTGAATTGTTTATGACACAATGGAGTACTATTCTACAGTTTTAGGTTCCCCTCTTCCTTACAATTGCTCTATCAAGTTAACCCACATTTTCTAAAAGAAAATAATTGCTTTATTTTTAGTTTCTACTTGTTTTTTGAATGGTTTAGTTTAATGGAGTAAAGAGCCCATGGATTATAGTTTACAAAACAATGTTACTTACCGATAGACACATTAAATAAGTTACCTTAAAACTTATGAACTTTAAAAACTAATAAATTACTTTCTCATCAAAAAATATAAATTTCAACCCCTCGCATGCCTAATGATGTCAAATGATATGGTTTTTCTTTCAAAGCACAGCTCTAATAGTAACTCTTTTACCATATGAAAGTGGTTGTCACAATTTTAAAGATGGCTTTACAATTACAATGTTTAATAGTGTCTTGTGTATCATGTTGCCCCACTCACCGTACAACATAATGTCCTTGTGATTATATATATATATATATATATATATATATATATATATATATATATATATATATATATATATATATATATATATATATATATATATATATATATATATATATATATATATATATATATATATATATATACAGTGGCGGATTAAGACTTCTTGGGGCCCGTTCTATTTTTATTTTTGGAGCCTTTTTATAAGCCATAGTCTTAAAATGACTATAAAAAAAAAAAAGCTCCTCCAAAATTTTTGGCGACCCCTAAAATTGCGGGGCCCGGGGCTATAGTCCCCCCTAGCTCCCCACCTTGATCCGGCACTGTGTATATATATATATATATATATATATATATATATATATATATATATATATATATATATATATATATATATATATATATATATATATATATATATATATATATATATATATATATATATATATATATATATATATATATATATATATATTAAAAACACTCTTTATCAATTCTACACAATAACTTTTTTTTATTTAAAAGATATACTACATATTTTATAGCTAAAGCTCAAGAACTAAAAAAAAAGTATAATCATTATATGTTTAGGGGGTTCTTCTTATTCTCCACTCCTTTTCTGTCTAGCCACCTAGACACACAATTTTTTTTTTACTCAAAATAGTTTTCAAACAAGTTTCTCTATTTTAATATTTTATTAAATTTTATAAGAACTTTTTACTTATATTTATAGCGACAAAATATCTTTGAGCGACAAAACGTTTTAAAATATAAATATAATTTTTTATGATGGAAAATGTAAAAATACTTTTTTTTTACTAGAAACTTAGAAACAACTTAAATATTTGTCAACTATGATTTAACTTTTAGGTACGGTCTCCTAGATCCGTCACCGGACATCAGTACCAAAACAAAACTTTTTTAAGAGAGCTTTTCAAAAAATAATTTTTTTATGAGTAAAACTTCAAACTTCGATTTTTTGATCTCAATCCAAAATGTTATGATTCTCAAATACAAATACAAAAATATTGTAGTTGCAAATAATATATTTTGCAGTTTGGCCCAGAAAAGTTGCAAAACAGTTTCTTAAACTTTAAGAAACTGTTTTACAACTTTTACAACTTAAACATGAACCCAGAAGGGTTTATGTTTAAGTCTTTGAATAAATCATTGGTTATTCTTACTATCAAAAAACCATTGGTTATTCTAATAATCAAAATGACCTCTAGTAAAGTGTTTGATATGTTAACAACTATCAATTTTAATTTACCATTTTATTCTACTTAATAAAACTATATGTTTTTAAAGTTTATGTAAAATGTTTTAAATTTTTAAACAGAAAAAAGTTTTTATTTTTTTATTTACGGAATTCTTTTGCGAATTGTGATTATTATTGGTGGACAAATAGTATTTTAACTTTCTTAATCTTAAAGTTATAAGAACTTAGAAATTCTAGTTTGTAATAGACATGTTTTATTCAATGTTTAAATTTAATGTTTTATATTCAATAAAATAGTTATTTCCTATTGTGTTTTTTAGAAAGCCGGAGTATCATCATACAGATCATTTTGCAATACAAACGAGGACTGTGGTAACTTTATGCGATGTGTGCTTTATGGACATTCTTCTATATGTTTTCCAACTTGGTTTTTTTTAAGCAACGATAGTAAACTTGATTGATATTGTAAAAACACTTATTGTTTTAATCTAAGATTTAAAATTTAAATAACTTTACATTAAAATTGTTGAAAACTCTAATTATAAAGTAAATAAAGTTATGTAAATAAAATTATACCATTAAAATAATTATTTTTTGTAAAAATTTTTTTGTTAATAGTTGCATAATTATTAAATATTTATTTCTGGAAGAAGTTTAAATGTGCCCAAATTATTATTTTTCGGACCTGGAACACAATTCTTTCAAAATTTATAAGCTATTTTGTTAAAAATAATAACTGTCACTAATTATTTATTTTGTGGAACAAACTTTCAATCAATGAGCGCTATTTATGGCCGCAGAGACTCTATTAATGACCGTAGAGATTCTGTTGATAGCCGTAGGGCTTCTATTGATGGCGGAAGAATAAGTGATTAAATGTTACATGGCATATCTCCGGTCAAAAAATTTAACCGTAATATTTTTATGTTGTAAAATCATTGTAAAGCTTATCTTAAACGAGAAAAATAAATAATATTATTATAGTCACTGACAGTTTGAGCAAATTTAAAGCAAGACTATACAAATCGCTAATAGACTATACATATATTCCGGGTCGGACTGGCTCTAAAGGGTCAAGGGGAGAGATAAGTGGGGTCTTTATGGTAGATATAAATTTAGCAAAAAAAAGTTAAACCCTTTACTACATAGTTCTTTTTGTTATAAGGGTATAGGAAATTTCTAATAATGTACTTGCAAGTTTCCATATCTTTGACCATGCGCTACATCCATTAATTTATTCGGCACGTTTAAAAAAATAAACCCATATGCAAGGTTTTAAAAATATAGTAATTCTAAATTGAAGCGTCGTACCACCTTATTTTCTCCACATTATTGCCATGTTAAAATAGATTTTCCCAATAAGTTTATAAATATTAGAAAAAATACAAATTTGTTGTCAAGCTTTTCAATTATTTACATAGAAATTAATAATCAAAATATAAGAAAAAGATATGTATTTGCAGTATTATACTACAGCAAGTAATCGTAGGAAGTTTAGGTGATTTTGCCAAACTGTGCACAACCTAATTAAAATCAACTCTCATGTCATTCTCAACATTTGTTAAAATAAATGATTCAAGGTGCTCTTCACCCTACATAATGCAATTGGTGATCATTATCTTCAACATCGGAAAGGCTTGCTCACTCTTGACGTTTATGCAAGGGAGACATAGTGTCATTTTGTATGCAGATGGAGAAAATTAAGAACGCAACTCAAATATCTGTTACAGTCTTTTTCGAAGTTGCATTTCTCGGATTCAGTTTAATCAGCCTTACTAACAAATTGGAAATTAGTTGCAAATGATGTCATCTCTGTGCACAGTGTTTCCCTCTGTATGGCAGCAAGATTGGCTAAATCATGAAAAATAAATTTGTCAATATGGTCACGCAAAGGTCGAAAGTTTTGTGGATCCAGATAGGCAATATCCCTTAAGATACCAACATCATTTTCTTTTAAACGGTCTTTGATTGCTGTAGTGGCAGTATCCACAATAACATAGAATACATTAACCTTAAGCCGCCTTACTGGGCCCTGAAATTCTTGCCTGCTTTCATCACTCGTGTTTTCACCCGGCTTTCTTTGTCGACCTATTTTTGTGAGAGCTCAATTTCAAAGATTTTTTTGATATCTTTGTTAGCTTTAAATATGTTGTTAGCCAATCTTACAACTGATTTAGCTTTCATGAAGAAAAAATAGGGTATTTTTAAGCACTGAAATGAAGCGGTTTGAAGTGGTTTCTAGCAACTAGAAATTCCAAGCCGTTTGTAAATGCTTTGAAAAAGGTGTGCATAACATTGCGCAAGCAGCGCATTTACCATTTTTAAGGAATCAAAACATAAACGTTATCGCTGCAGGCAGCCATCATGTTTATGTTTTTTCCTTTAAATAAAAATTTGCAGCTAAGTTATGGTAACCAAATACTATTTGTATTTTATTGTTTAAAGAACATAGCCATTAACACAAATTTAAAAATCAAAGATATAAATTTAATTTTAAAACAGAATATTATATATTATATATTTATTTTAATATAATATAAATTTATATATTTTATTATAGTATAATATAATTTTCTTTTTAATTACATATTAAAAAATTTTATGAAATAAATTTTTTCTCGGAAAATTAAATATTTTTTAGATTTATCCATTTTACCCTATTTAAAGCTGAACTCCAATCCCTCAATATTCATGATCAGTCCGACCCTGCTTATATTATAGGGATGTACAGGAATTCCAGCCGGAATTTGTGATTTTTAGGTCATTTCGGTTTCGGTCGGAATTACAATATTTCAGGCCGGTAATTTTTTTATTTTATACAAAGTGTGATACAGACTGTATAAATTAAATCATAAAACTATTGTCCTACAGGGCAATGAAGAACTATAGGTAAACCTAGGTAAAAAGTACAAAATTTTTAACAAACAAGATGAACTTTTAGGTAAAGCTAAAGTTAAGCGGTGTAAAATTCTTGTAGCGCTCTCGTCAGTGGAGAGTTTTTAAAAATTAAAAATTTTAATTGAAATAATAAAAGAAAAAATTGCTGCCTGATGCCAAACCCTCAGTCAATGTAGCAGCACTCCCTTGTAGCAGCAGGCTATATGATAGTCGATGTATGTACTAAAGCCAATAAATATTCTATATGTCTATATTTAAAAGTTAACACTTTGTTCTAGTCTCCACAAGAAAGTGCAACAAGCGAAAAAACAAAATTATTGTAGACCGCTAAACTTTAGCTTTGTCTAATTTTATTTGTAATAATCACTTGTGTAAGGATTTCTAAAAGTTTAGATATATGGTGGTACAAAAAAAGTTGCTATTCAGTTTTGGGCAACAAACGACCCTTACGGAAATATTCCATGGAAAACCCATGGAATTCCATGAGTAAACCATGGTTTTCCCATGAAAAACGGGAATTCCATGGAATTTCCATGGGTAAATTTCATGAAAATTGAAATCCTATGGAATTTCCATGGGTGAACCATGTTTTTTTTTTCATAGCTTAAACTGCGCCATGGTTGTTACAAATGGGCTTTTAAAGATGGCGTCATAGCTCGTAGAGTTATGATTATTTTTAAATTAGAAAACAATACTTACTGCATTCTTCTGTTTTTCTGTGTTTAATAAGGCTATGAATTACATGTTTTTTATAATGCAATACATTTATATGTTTTAACTAAACATACAGACATAAACAACTAGATATATTTATCATATAATGCATTATAAAAGGGATTATTTTTAATTATATTTTATTATATATCATTTATGCATATACTTATTTTAACTGTTTCCAGTAGCTTTGCTTACTTTGCATAACTTGCAATAGTATAGCAAGTATGTCAAGTAAACCAGTTTGAATTTTAATGCCTACTTGGCAAATTATTTGCCAAATAATTATTATTTGGTTTACAACAAATAAATGTTTAGTTTTAATCTACATTAAATAACTAGTGTATTAATGTACATAGTGTAATTTAATGTACATTCAAACTAGTATAATTATTATTATAAAATTTATCGAACGTATTAAAGAAACTTATTTAAAATATTAATATACAAGCAGTATATTAGATAAGATTAGATAACTAAGATAATAAGATTAGATAACTAATGTACAAAAGATAACTAGTATGATCTTTTTTATTTTATTTTTTATAATAGCCTTAGATTACATAAAAATGCTTGAAGTTTATTGTATCGTAAATGTTCATTAAGTATTAAAAAACATTTTTTTATGATAAATGTTCTATTCAATTTTAGTTCTGTTAAGTTGTTTTTGTCTTTTTGTTGTAGTTTTTTCTTTAGAATTATTAGAATATGTAAATAATGTAATATAAATAATGTTTATAAATTCTTTTATATTTACTTTATTATTTCATTTAAATTACTACATTATAAGCCAACAGGTTTGACTGGCAATATAAATAATGTTGTTCATCGTTTATATTGTTTATAACATCGTCAGTTTTTATATGCATTTAATATTTTTAAAAATAGTTCAAAAGCTGTCAAAATAAAATGGTGAATTGAGTTTAAACCAGAAAAGATATAAACGTAATCTTTGGGATTCAACTTGTAAGGATGTTCCAAGAACCACTTAGTTGGAGAAGGAAAACTGTGGTAATATTTTATAAGTATCAGTAAGGGAATTTACTTAATGCACAAGATTTTACTTCATAGTTAAATATAAGCATATAAAAGCAATGTTTATAAATAATACACTATTATTTATTATAATACAATTATTTTTATTTGTTTATATTTAACTGATGTAAAGTGCTCGTCTTTAGTTAAAATAAATTAATTTTTGCACACACTTTGATATTTACTATGCTTTTACATTACTATACTTTATAAATTACATATTTGTTATGTTTTAAATAGTGAAGTAAAAATATAATAAATTTTTGAATTTAATGGTATGTGCGTAAGTTCTTTTATTTTAACTTTATCATTTTATTTAAATTACTGCATTATAAGCAGGTAAGTTTGACTGACAATATAAATAATGTTGTACATCATGCAGACAGCTCAGACAAAGAAGTAAGTTTTTACTTAAAATTACAATTTATAAGTTATACTATATTTGTTGCTGCCTTATTCTATATAAATGTTACTAACATGCAGGTAAAATTTATATATGTGTATAAATCTTTTCATTTTAACCTTATCATTTCATTTAAATATAAATTTTTAATTTATTTATTTAGCCGTTCATTAACAAGTCCTGTGCTTTATAATATATTAAAAAATGGAAGGACGTGAAGAAAACAGGTTTGTAAATGATGTTGTACATCATGCAGATAGCTCAGAAGAAGAAGTAAGTTTTTTTTTTAATTACAAAAGTAAATATATAATATAATATTTGTTGCTGCCTTGTTCTATATAAATGTTTCTAACATGCAGGTAACATTTATATATGTATTAGTTTGAATAAATCATTTTAATAAAGTTACATTATAGGCAGGAATGTTTGACTGGAAATATAAACGATGTTGTACATAATGCAGATAGCTTAGGCAAAAAAGAGGTAACAATCTAATAATTTGTATTTATAAATAATGATATATTCATTGCTACTTTTTTCTATATACCTAACATTTGGCAACATTCATAATTGTGTATAATGCCTAATTATAAAGTAAGTTATAATAGATAATAATTATAAGTAAAATGAATTAGTAAATAAAGAAAACTAGTTAGAATGTATATAATAGTTGTATGATGTATTGTCTAGATTGGTGAAATGGAGAATGAGACTAACTAGGGTGAAAAAAAATGAGTATTAATATGTGAATGGTACTTTGTTTAACATCTACCTGTTTCTACAGATACAGTACAGACGCATTTATAAATGGGCTTGATGTTTTTTTGAATTAAATATGTTGTATTGATGGTTCTTTTTAACTTGTTAAAACTTGAAGTTATTATCAAATTTATATATACTATTTTTATCAAATAGTTAATATAAAATAATAAACATGTAAATTGTTTTATTTTTTGTAAAAATTGTTTTCTTGATAAATTTCAATTGTTTATCACTATGTATATCACTTATAGTATTACATTACTTGTAATTTTTTGTTTTATTTATTTTCAGTATGTTATACATATGCGTGCATTAAATATTGTGGGGAAGTCAAGTTTTGATGTTTTAGGTGCATTATAGCTATTATTTTTCAAAGATTTGTAGGATTTAACAAGATTTAAATTTTATTTTGTTTATTGATTTTATTTGAAGAAAGCGATCTCATAGATTAAGAGAACTCAATAATAGTGGGATAAAATTTGCTTTTATGATTTAATATGACAATTCAAATAACATTAGATAAAAAACTTGAAAACAAATCATGCTTTTTTACCATGAAAAATCCATAAGTTTTCATTGGAAAGGTGTTCCTAATACCTATGGAAATGCCATGGTTTTTCCATGGATGGAAAATCATTGAATATCCATGGTATTTGGAACACTTTTCCATGAAAAACTTAAAGATTTTTCATGGGAAATTCATGTGTTTTCCATGGAAAACTCATGGTTTTTCCATGGAAAACTCATGGTTTTTCCATGGAAAACTCATGGTTTTTCCATGGAGAACTCATGGTTTTTCCATGGAAAACTCATGGTTTTTCCATGGAAAACTCATGGTTTTTTCATGGAAAACTCATGGTTTTTTCATGGGAACGTGTTCCAAATACCCATGGTTTTTCCATGGGTTTTTTTTTCTAAAATTCCCATGGGAAATTTTCGTACGGGGAGCTCTTTTTTCATCGAAAATGTTACCTACCTCTTAGAACAGTCTCATTTTTAATGTTTCTTTAATGTTAACTTTTAAATAGTTAAAAAGTATAGGATGCCTAATACAGTAAATAATTCAATTTTAACTTATACATATAAAATATACATGTAAACATATAAAACAAAGAAATAATCTACATAAAAGGGAAAGTCTTTTAATCTTGAAGGTAAAAAATTACATAAATATAAATCTCGTTCTGGCCTTAATTTTTTTTTTTTAATTCCGACAGATCCGATTCCGGCCGGAATTCAAAGTTTCCTATCCGGTACACCCCTAATATATTATACGCATGATGTAAAAAATTGCTCTTAACCTTTCTTTATGCCTTAGGTGTTTTCGTATTTAAAGTCTCATGTCTCTATACGACAGTTTTGATATTTTGTGAAAATTATTTATTATAGCAGTGTTGATAAACAGCATGAGTATTCTCCATTTTTCTTCCGCAGCAGACGGCGACTGCTTCTCAATTAATTTTTAGTGGCAAAATTGTTTTTATTCCACCCCCTGTGGATTCCGCCTTTCTATTGGCGGCCGCAGTCAGAGATTGTTTTTAGAGGCAAAATGTTTTGGAGGCAGACGCCAATAGAGAGGCGGAAGCCAATGGTGGCCGCCTCCAGAAGAAATTTTGAAGGCAAAACCATTTGGAGGCCGCCTCCAATAACTTCTGGCTGCGGTCGCTAAATTGGAGGCGGAAATATTTGCCTAGAACTAATGTTAAATAACTGACATCAAAGTTTTGTTTTATATGATTTATTGATTATTTAAGAAATGTTTTGAAAAAAAAATTATTTTGTTTTTCTAGGACTATCGAATAAATTTTTAACTTTTAAACGTTTCAAACATTTACAATGCGGTAGTGGTGTAGTGGTAGACCGCTCGCCTCATTAGCGAAAGGTTCTGAGTTTAATCCCCACCACGTCACGGTTGCTTAGATATTAGGAAAAAGCGCTTTGTTTACGCACACATGCGCCAGTTATAAGAAAAGAAATATCAAGCTTTTAAAATGGTTGCGGTTCTTAAATTTTAGATAGCAACCATTGCTTTCTATTTTACTTGTAGAATTGATTAATTTTACCATTGATTTTGTAGAACTGATTGATTGATTTTACATTATTTGTAGAACTGATTGATTTTACCATACTTTTGACCTAATTCAATAAATATATATATTAATAGTATTATAAAACCAATACGATACGGAAAAAAAAGTCTTATTTTTCCTTAAATTTATATTTTCACCCAGGATTAATTGCTGTTGATTAGTGATTTTGTTTATTTATTTAAAATCAATTTTCTCAATTTCTGACTGTAGGATTTCCGTAATTTTTTTTTTTAATTTTAGATATATCTTTTCTGTAATTATGATAATTTTTTGGTTGTTGCTTCAACTTTTTTTAGGTGAAAATTTTAGATTCTCATCTAATAACATTTTGACAGAGTTGAGTGCATGAACTATGCACATATATATGTATGTAAATAATGTATGTGTAAAATATACACATAATACATCATTTATTTAATATATATATATATATATATATATATATATATATATATATATATATATATATATATATATATATATATATATATATATATATATATATATATATATATATATATATATATATATATATATATATTATATATATATATATATATATGCATAATGCATTATATGTATGTTGTATATGGTAATATGTGTGTGTGTGTGTGTGTGTACAATGCACCATGTTTTATTTATTATATAAACTATACTTTAATTCAAGATTTATTTTAAATATTACTTAATCTTTTAAATTAAATACAATATATAATACAGTTTACAATAATTTGAGATTATGTTCAAAAATTTTGAACATAATCTCAAATCAGTTCAGCCCATATTGAATTTGTTTATGTAATAATTAAAAATTAATTTTCTCTACATTGATTCATTACTGTTTTATCTTTAGATGGAACTGCACTACGAAAATTTAAATTACTTATGCAGGACTTGTGCAAAATGGATCGGAAAAAGACATTATAATTTGACAATTAATCTTAAAACTATAATAGAACAAGTGTTTCTTGTTAAATTTGAATTAATAGAAAACATACATCCAAAAAATATTTGCCACAAATGCTATTGTACTATTAATAATGCATACAAAAGAAAAACAACAATTTTTTTATCTCTATATACTAACTGGCAACCACATGGGATAAACTGTGCCACATGTCAGATGGCTAAAAATGTGCGGCATGGTACAATTTTCACGCGTTCACTTTTAAAAAAATCTAGTCATAGAAATGAAAAATATATCTAGTAGGGTAGATTAGGGTAATATGAGCACCTTAAGCAAAAATTGGAATATTTTCAAAAATAAATATGCTGGATCCAAAATTTTTGCAAATAAACAATTTTTAGGGATCTCTATTCATAATCTATGTAGATATTTGGGCACTTGACATTTTTTCTTAAAAACACAGAGGTTTTAAAAAAGTAGCAAAAGTGCTCGTATTACCCTGACCCTTTGGTAATATGAGCACTTTAAATTAGCTCAAAAAAATAGCATTAATTAAGTAAAAAAAAACCAACCTGCTTAATAGAACTAATTGTTGGAATATAAGGATTCGTGATTAACAAAACATATCATTAAAAGATCAAATTTTAAGCTACATTTTGTTGAAGCAATACTATTATGTTTTCCGCCAAAAAAAAAAAAAAAATTAATACATTGTTTTTTTTCAATTTTGTTAACTCAAACCTTTGAACAATAAAAACTAAAATTTTTTAGATTTAAGTTACAGAAAAATATTTAGTATTGTTAATTTTTTACTATGTTTTGTTTTTATTCAAGAAGCAATTAAAAACCACTGCTATTTTAGGACTTTAAACTAAGCTATTTCAATGAAAAGCACTAGGTAATTTGAGCATGCTCATATTACACAAAAATGGTATCTTTAAATAAAGTCAAAAATAAATCTTTCTATGCATTATTTTTCAAACAAAAATGAATTGGATTTTTAGCTAATATATTTTTCTTTATGAAAAAATCAATTTTATTATTTTAGCACCAAAATATTGCGCCACAGAATTATTCACGCGTGATGATTTTTTTTAACAAAGCAAAAAATTTAAAAGCGTTTTAATTAGATGATATCCGCTAATTACTGCGTATAAATTTACGCTAATTGTACTGATTCCTGTTATCACCACATAAAGTCGATTCGAAAAACATAAAGCAACTTTAACTTCACTGCTAACATCTAATAAATCTTTAAGTATGCTCATATTACCAAGGTGCTCATATTACCCTAATCTACCCTAAATACAAAAAATGTTGGACAATACCAATGTTTAACTCAATAAAAGAAAATATATTACCCATACACAATTTAAACATAGATATTGAATTATCAGAACTAAAAAATGAATTAAATCCTTTTTTAGAGCTATGTTTATGTTGTAATTGTAACAGAATACCACAAATGTTTGTTACATTGAAAAGCTGTGAACATTTATTTTGTTTTTTATGTCTTGTAGAAAATATGAAAAATAAATATCTTGATGAAACTTTCTGCCCAAAGTGTAATAGAAAATTTTTTATTGATGATATGGTGACCAGTAAAAAAACTGATTCTCTTCTTAAGATGTTAACTCACATATGTGTTATGTGCAAGCGAAAATTTAATATGTTAAAAGAGTATGAAATATTCAACACTCATAAAAACTTATGTAATAACGAATTCTTATTATCAACGTCATTATTGGCTTCATCAAATAATCTAAATAAAAGTATAAATGATATCTTTGAAATAAATAAAGACAGTGATATTCCACAAGAGGTAGAAGAAGCAGCCCTTCATATTCTTAAGTAAATATTGGCAAAAAGTGGACAAAAAACAATTGAGTTTAAAAGTAGAGGACCTCGAGTAAGTCTAGATATGTCATTATAAAAATAAATATTTTAAAATTTATTTTTTTATAAATACAAACTTTTGTGCTTTTTTTTTTCTACTTTTTAGCCCATGATTTTTACTCATGTACCAAAAGCTTATGTCGATAGTGCTCAGGACTAAACCACTCTGAAATAAGTGCAAGTGTGATGGTTGCAATGAAAACAGATATGGGAGTACCATGGGAAAAACTTAAAATTATGTCTAGGTAAGTATATATATATATATATATATACATATATATATATATATATATATATATATATATATATATATATATATATATATATATATATATACATATATATAAGTAGCCTCCATATATACATACATATATATATATATATATATATATATACATTTATATTTATATATATACATATATATTTATATATATATATATATATATATATATATATATATATATATATATATATATATATATATATATATATATATATATATATATATATATATATATATATATATATATATATATATATATATATATATATATATATATATGCATATATACATCAAAGTTACTGAAAAATAGGTATTTTTCATGAAAACAGCCTGTTTTAGCCATAACTTTTTAAAATAAAAAACTGTATTTTTTTCTTTATTTATACCCTAAGCCTAATTACTAATAGTATTGTTTCACCTAGTACTGTATTAAGAAGACTAGTTTGGGGTGGGGGCTAGGGGCTATAGCCCCAGGCCCCCCAAAAGAGTCAAGAGAAGTTAAGCAGCCGTGGCGCAGTGGTAGCGCACTTGCCTCAGAAATGTAAGATCCGTGGTTCAAACCCCACCTCTAAGCAAGTTTTGCGACATCGGTTGGGAAGGAGGCGTGAACTTTAAAATGCTCTTCCTCCTAATAAATGCTCTTCCGCGGTGCTCTCTGATAAGATCGTAAGGACTTCTTGGGGCACCTAAAATCAACTTTAAAAAAAAAAAGTTTTTTTTTAGTCATCTTCACGCTCTGACACATAAAAAAGGGCCCTGAAAAGTCTAAATTTGCCATTGGTTTCACCTAACCTGTTTTGGTTATCTTGGTTATTTCACCTTTATAACTGTTCAATAAATGTTTAAAATTAAATGTTTTAAACTGCTTGTTAACTTTATGTTATATTGACGTAAAATGTGTTTTATTAACCTTTTTTTAGTTATTATTTAGAAATAATTATCTAAGTGGTTCATTATATTTCTTTTAATACTTCTCAATATATTTCTTTCCATATCAAGAAATTGCTAATGTTTGATATTTTAATTTAGCTTTTAATTTTATTTATGGCTTGCTAGATTAATGTATAAATCAATAATTACTTATGAATCTAATACAAAGTTTGATTATTATAGAACAAGTTTTAATATGGTCATTAGGTTAGAGAGAACGAGGATGATGCTAACTTGTCCTGTCTTTGGTATACCTAAAGAGATGTCGCAAGTTGTTTTACCAACATATGAAGATGTAATGAAACATTACTTGCTTGTAAAACATCAACTGAAACCGACAGCTGCTACGAAAGAACCTACTATAACAGAAATCTCTGAAAAAGTTGCACAAGTTGTTGAAAAAATAAGGTTAAAACCGACGATTACTCATACACGGGTATTAAAGGTGATTCGCTCCTATCATGATAAATACAGAAAACTATTTCGAAACATCAAGCGCAGTGCATGATAACAAAGTAAACGCTTTTAAAGAAGACGCGAAACATAAATTGTTTGACATCTGCACCTGTAAGTGTGTATTTGAGAAGTGTGTATGTAACAAAACTCGCAAGGTTCCTCCTGCAGAGCAAGATTTTATCCAAGATCAGAGAACTCTCAAATTGATGTACATTGGCAATGTTGAAATTTGCATCGCAATGCCTTGTCTGTGTCTACGGTTAGTGATTTTGAAAGTCGATCTACAGCTCAAAGTGATGAAGATGATAATTTATTAATAAACGTAATATTTCCGATGTTTCTTCCATTGTTATTATTAGTTCTTCGTATTTTCAATGTCGGCAACCACTTGCTGCATTAGCAAACGTCTGTGACCGGTATGGGATCTCAGGTAGAGCTGGAGCTGCAATAGCAAGTGCAGTTTTGGAAGACTTTAGTGTTGTTAATCAACAAGATACCTCTTATGTTGTTGATCCGAGTAAAATATGACGGGAGCGTAAGAGAAAACGCAATCAACTAAAAACTTCTAAAAATTCAAAAATAGTTTGAGGAATTTATTTTGATGGACGAAAAGACAAAACTCTTGAAAACATCAAGGAAGGGTTAAAGTTGAAAGGAGTTTGGTATCAAGGAAGGGTTAAAGTTCTATCAACGAAGTATTACTCAAGAGCACACCTCTTTAATAGACGAACCAGGGTCTAAATACCTTGGGCATTTATCACCATCTGGATCGTCTGCCTGTTTGATAAAAAGTTCTATAATCAACTTTATAACTATCAAAAATATTGACGTTAAAAAGTTTGTAGCTGTTGGATCTGACGGAACTGCAGTAAAAACAGGAATTAAAGGTAGCGCAATAAGATTGATGGAAAAAGAATATAACAAATTGTTTCAATGGTTGATTTGTCTTTTGCATGCAAACAAACTTTTACTTCGACATCTGCTAATTTATTTAGATGGATAAACTACAGGACCAAAAGCATATTCTTGTCCAATTGGTAAGGCACTTATTAATTGTGAGAAATTACCACTTATTGAACTTGAAAAGATTGATGTAACTCTTCCAAAATTTGAACTTAAAGATTTAAGCACAAATCAAAAATATATGTGGGAAATGTGCGAAGCAATATCCAAAGGTGAGTGTTCACTACTCCTATCAAAAAAAAACTTTAGAGGTACTAAATCACTTCCGATGGCTGACAACAGCGAATAGACTTCTGCGGTTGTATGTGGCGAGCGAGAATTCATTAACAAATCTGATTCATTCAGTAACTTATGTTGTAAGAGTTTATTATCCTGTTTGGTTTAGTATTAAGATGCATCCTTCATGCAAAGATGGTGCGCGGCATTTTTTTTAACTTATTCAATAATCACGTTACTTATCGCAGGAACAGCGAGATATAGTAGATACTGTATAACAACTTAACGGCTATTTTGCTCATTCAGAAAATTTCTTACTAGCAATGGTTAGTAACAAACGCCAACAAATTCGTAATTTAGGATTAAGGCGCATTCTTAAAACGCGACAGGAAAAAGATCACACACTGCGTACTTTCAGTTTACCAAAGCTTAACTTAGATGCACATGATTACATAGAACTCATCAACTGGAAATAAAATAAAATAACCGAGCCACCGTTGACAGCTGATGAGGCTTCTCTGGCTGTATGTGGAGAAAAAACTCGAGATGGTTTTATTCGATCGCGTTTACATGCACGTCTCATAATGCCAGTGTTTAACACAAAGTCAGAATATCGTGCTTCCGAACCAATAAATTGGTAGAGTGTAATGACAGATTTTCTAAAACTTGATTGTGTATTTTAAAATAATTAATAAATAGATATTTTTGTTTCACCCTTTAACTTGTTAAAGACTTGCTGACTTACTAACTTGCTAATCTGCCACAGTGACGGAGAGAGGGAAGCGGAAGCGCAGAGGACCATGTCCTCTAATTATTTTCAAAAACACCTTTTTTTATTTTTACAAAGTCGGTGTTTAATGTAGTACTTATTGACAATTTAAATTTTTTTAGTGCATTGATCCCAATACGCCCCCCTTTTCCCCACGAAAGTGTCTCGCCCTGAAATATATATATAACCTTCAAAGGTCATCGAAATATGTTCATATTAGATAAAAAAGAATGACATATATGTCATTCTTTTTAATTATTACAGTTTTTTCTGAAAGAATTTGACAAAAAAGTATAATCTTTATTAAAAAAAAATAATTGACTAAAACACTCAATTGTCATAAAAAATACCTCTTTTTAGTAATATATATATATATATATATATATATATATATATATATATATATATATATATATATATATATATATATATATATATATATATATATATATATATATATATATATATATATATATATATATATATATATGTATATATATATATATATATATATATATATATATGTATATATATATATATATATATATATATATATATATATATATATATATATATATATATATATATATATATATATATATATATATATATATACTCATAAAACTTATAGTTTTTCAGTATTACTTAACTTTTCAATTCATTATAATTTTTTTATAGTTGCAATCATCATGTGAATCATAAATTTATTCAAAATAATGAAATTCACATCAGAATTGGAGGAGATTATGGTGGTGGTAGTTTTAAGATGAGCTACCAGATTGTCAATACCATAAATCCAAATAGTTCTAAAATACTATTATTTTTAGCATATTTGAATCAAAAGACCTCAGAGCTGATGTAAAAGTAGCCATGGCAAAAAATCTACAAACAATTAAATGTAAGTATGTTAATAAATACGCTGTTGCTTGCGCAACGGTACCGTCGCTTTAATTTTTTTCCTAAAATCGTGGTAGTGATTTCTGATTGGTTGATTTTTTTTCTTTTATTTAAAGAATGCGTACCCAAATCAAACCCTTAATTGATGTATGTACACTCACTGTGCCTATCTCTATATCAGTCGATGTTTGTAAATAATAAATATAAATGTAACTTTCAATATAGAACAATAATAATAACTTTCAATAAAAAAGTTGTTAAAAAACATTTAAAAACATTTTTCATTGTCTAGCGCAACGGTACCGTTGCTTTAATTTTTTATCCTAAAGTCACAGTAGTAAAGTTTATATATATATATATATATATATATATATATATATATATATATATATATATATATATATATATATATATATATATATATATATATGTATATATATATGTATATATACATACACAGTAAAATTTACATGTTATATATATATATATATATATATATATATATATATATATATATATATATATATATATATATATATATATATATATATATATATATATATATATATATATATATATATATATATATATATATATATATATATATATATATTTAATGTTTGTGTATATACTTATAGGGATAATAATATTAGAGTATTTATTTTCGGAGATTATGAATTCCTCTGTTTGATGTATGGAATTTCCGGAGCCTCAGGTGAGCAGTTTCATTTCTATTATCTTTAATTTATTATTCTATAATTTATTATATTATGCATTTTAGTGCATGATTTTAAGACATTTTGCCTACAAAATAAATGTTAGTTAGTTGTCCTTTTTGGATAGGTCTTTAGAGTTATTTAAAAAGAAAGTTTAAGAAAATTTAAAAGTTAAAGAAAAAGAAAAATTTAAAAAAAAGAAAGAAAAATTTAAAAGTTAAAGAAAATTTAAAAAAAAAGATCAGGGGGCTGAATATTTCTGAATCAGTAACTAAATCTTGCTCTGTTTATTCACCTCACTAAAATAGGATTAGCATTTAAAAGTTGGTAGTCTTTTAGGTAAACATCGTTGTTTATTCTGTTATGCAACAGCAAATAAAATGAAGGTTTGCAAAAAAGAAAGATTAAGCATAGCACCTCGTTCGTTGGAAAATCTGCAGGCTGATTTTGAAAGATTTATGAAAGATGGTGGTGTTAAGAAAAAAGCTATGTTTGACAATAATGTTATAGCAGAGCTTATTCTAAGAATACCATTAAACCAGGTTAATTTTTCCAATAGAACCACTTTGACTCTATTAAAATAGTAAATTTATTTTGTTCTCTCTTATATGCATAATTAGGTGTCTTTACCAAGTCTACATATTGCTCTTGGCGTTTATCTCAAGTTTTTTAATATGTTTGAGGAGGAAGTCCATGAAGTAGACATTATGATGGCAGCATCATTAAAAAATAAAAGTTGTCTTTTATCTCAACCGTATCAAGACTTTATTTTAAAGCAACAACAATTTTCGAATCTAAAAGGTGCATTGATAAACTAGATGATCAAATCCAGCTGGTGAATGACTCTGTAGCTATAGCCATATTAAATAATCAAGATTGTGTAGAAAATATTTAGTCACTTTACATCCCGCAATTCAATTTACTAAATCAAACAAAAATGGAAAAAGTAAGAATTGTTATATAATTTAATAAAAATAACTTCGTGAAAATAACATTGTTTTATATTGAAATACTTGACATATGGATAAAAATGTTTTTATAGGTTATTGAGTGTAATGCTTTAAAAAACGAACTGATTTTTAAGAAAAGTGAGGGACCATGCATTCAACAGATTGAGCTAATTTTGCAAAAACTCAAGGTACAGCAACAAGCATATCATGGGAAAAGTTTTATAGGAAACCATGTACATAAAATGCTAAAAGTAAATATGTACTACGTTTTACTTATAGTATTTTATATAATATAATATATAATAATAAATATTTTACGTTTTTATATATAATATATATGTAATAATTATTATAATACTATATATAAAAATGATGGTGATAATAATGTAATATTAGTAACATTAATGCTGATGATAAAATAATAGTGGTAATAAAAAGCTGAAAGTAACAAATAATGTATCGTTTTTATATTTTCAGAAAAAATCTATATTAGAGCTATGTAATTCTGTTCCGCTTCTTGTTTATAACAATGAATTGTTTGGAACAACTGTTCATGAAAAGTCAGTTGAAATTAGTAGCAAGTATAAACAACTTTTCAATAAGTTTGCCAATTGTTATAACATATTTGCTTCAAAGAGTACTATGAAAATAATTGAATTAACACAACTAGGTATGTTTTGTGTAATAATTTTTTAAATAAAATAACTACTATTTTGGATAGTAAACTAATCCTAAAAATAGAGTTAATTTAAATAAATAAACAAATTTGTGTTTTACACTAAAAAGGAATACTTGATATGAAGTTTAAACACGCTAAAACCATTTTAACACTATTTTATTGATGTAATTATGAAATTATATGAATTAAATCACTAATATAAGATAAAAATAAAGTTGCAATATTAAATTTCAAAGAAAATGTTAATAAAATAACGGTTGCCATATAAAATATATTCTGTAGTTAGAACCCATTAGCCATTTTAAAAGTTCAAAAGTTTTTCGCATTTTCTCACGCATGCGTACCTAAACATAGCGCTTGTAAACGACCGTGGTCCCCCTGGTAGTAACGCGCTCAACTCGTTTCTCCGTGCAGCGGCTTTGTTCGTCAAGGTTCGTGCTTCGGAGTTATAGAGTTGAGAGAGGGCCATATAATCACAAATAAGTAGCCTCCTCGTCTGTAGTGGCCTTCTCGGCCTTGAGGAGGTAAGTTAACAAAAAAAAAAAAAATCGCTTAAAACTTTAAAACGTGTAAAAGTAGATGAGTCTACATTTTTAAACGTTTTAAAAGTATAGAGTAAAATATAAAAAAATATTTATAAAAGTATTGAGTAAAATGGGGTCAAATGGAATAGTTAAGGATTTTAATTATTAATTTTTTACGGGAAAAAGATTTTTTTTTTTTTTAATTGTACAGAATATTGAGCTGTATTTAAATATATTAAAATCAAAAAATTTTTTTGTAAAGTTTTTAATGAAACTTTTTGATTAAGAAAAAATTTATTCCATTCTACACTGACATTCGGGAAGAATGAAATACGCAAATATAAGTGTAATCAAAACAACACTTTATTAAAAAAACAAAAAGCAATCAATAATAACAATTAAAAAAATCAATCAAAAAAAATAAACTTTTTTGTTCTTGTGATGATGTTGAGCCGTTTAGAGATACTAGAGGTTGAGTTGAGTTTTCACTTGTACGGCACTTTTTGTAGCAATAAAACTCAGCGCCTTTTACGTATCGCTTTGGTATGCATGTTTGACATAGCCAAACCTTGCAATTTGAATTTTCACACTGGTACCATTCCATAATTTGACTTACTGAAGCTTCGCCTAAAACCTTTCGGCACTTGAGTTGGTTTGCAGCTAATATTTTCGTTGGACTTGTTACTTTGTTTATTTGCAGTTCTCCATTAGAGATAAGCTTTCGTTGTTTTTTAAATTGGTTTGCTGCTTTTTTGCTCTCAGCATCTTTCAACCTTTCAAGTATTTCAGGTTTGTTGAGACACTCCCCTTCGAATCTTGGCACATCGACATTTTTTCATTTTTTTGTGTCAACGTGTTGGACACGAAACATTTGTTGCAAAGCTGCTGCAAGTAATTGGGGTGATTGCAGTTACTTTGCAACCTCTTTTTGAAGTTCCTTTTGAATAGCCGGAGTTACTACAATATTGAAGGTCGTTTGCAAATAAGGTGACCGCAATTAACAAGAGAGCAACTATCGTATTTCATTCATTTATTAGAACTATTTTATAAAAGCAATAAGTAAAAGTCATTTAAATTCAGTCAGAAAAATTCGTTCATTGAAATTTATACAAAAATTTATAGTTGGAGATTTATTGGTCATTTGAGACCTAATAAAAAAAGCCGCTTTTAAGAAATAAGCTATTGCTTCGTATTTATTTATTTATTAGCGTATTTCATTCTATCACACAACACTCCGTTTCCGTTTTAACTCATAACTTTTTATATTAAGTAGCAAATTTAATTTTGAAAAAAGATTCTTGATCAGCTTAAAAAGTTGTACCAATAAACATTTTTAGTTCAATGATACCGAATTTAATTTCCGAGAGTTTTAAGTTCCCTTTTCAAACAAATATAAAAATCTTATTACGCATTCGAAAACTTCTAAATTTATAAGAATTTTTTTTTATTAAAAATAAAATTTTATACAATCTTACTCAGAAAAATATTCTCTACAATATAATGAAAAAATATTTATAAAAAAATTATTCAATAGTTAATTAAGAGCGAAAGAATAAACATTGTTATAACTATTTCATTCTACTCGCTATTTCATTTTACCCTGTTTTACTTATGCTACCTAATGTAAATAAAATAAAATAATATTTTTCAGGCCCGTAGGAACAAACCCGTAGAAAATGGGGGGGGGGGGGGCAGTCCTGGATTAAGGGAGCCCAAATTAGTTTCAAAGATCTTTTTTGTTTTTTAGTCATTTTTTCAGTCAATTTTTTAAAATCATTTATTTGAAAAATTATTGGGGGGCAAATGCAATTTCTGCCCCCCCCCCCTCCTTCCTGGTTGTTACAGGCCTGGGAATTTTTTTATTTTAAAAAAATAACAATTCATTATTAAAAATAAATTTTATAAAATAAAATTTAAACTATATAACCTTATATTTTATATAATTTGTAAAGTAAATTAAAAGTAATTTATATAAAATAAGTAAATAAATTTACTTATACATTCTACAATAACTTTGACAGGACCTAGTACAAAAGTAATGCAAAAAAGTAAAGATTAGAATTCAGACAAAGCTGAAACATGAGAAGGCGCAGATGCCCATGAAAGACACAGA